ATGTTTTTGACACGTTTTAGAAATGTTTCATTGAATAACATAGAAACATTTCTAGGACCTTTCTAAAACTTTTCCTACCTAGTTCAAACTGAATCCACCAGAGGGCGTTGAAGTTTAATTTTTCAATTTTACCAAATTTCAGCTTAATTTTTCGTCTCAAGCTATACTTTTTGGACATTTAATTATGTGGAGGTTATTAACACGGTTAATTCCTTGTATGAATCGAGTTCATCTCCATAAAAGCTCATAAGTTATGGATTATCTAGAATATTGAAACCGTACATCGTGCTTTGCGTATACTTTTCTAAAGTGAAGGTGTTCTAATCCCTCTGATAGGTTGATAATGATGAAGTGTAACGATTCAGCCCTCATGCATGGTTGGTATCAAGGGATGCCTGCTGTGATGGTTCTAATTCCACAGCGACATTAGTTAGAACAAATGTCTGAAAATTTTTGATACTTAAAGCCTCGGTGCTGATACCTCTCTGAGATGTGTTGAAAAGGTATGAGAAACATCTATCGGACGGATCTGTGAGACGAAATTTAGGGGTGACATAGAGTTGTTTTAGAAACCTTCTCAAAACCGTCGGGACACATGATATGTTTTCAAGATGTTTCAACAAACCACTGAAAGGTTTTGAAAACATTTTTGAAGCGTTTCGACGATACAAAGGAATGTCATGCCTCTCACCGAAATGTTTCAAGAATGTGTCAGATATATCTCTGCGACGAATTTGTGGTGCCGATAGGTACCTCACTGAGATGTGTTGTAAAGGTATGAGAAACATCTATCGGACGTATCTGTGAAACAAAATTTAGGGGTGACAAAGAGTTGTCTTAGAAACCTTTTCAAAACCGTCTGGACACATGATATGTTTTCAAGATGTTTCATTGAAATGTTTTAAAGAAATTTTTTCGGATCAATGACACATTTTAAAAACATCTTCAATCTGACCTGTGCTACCAGGGTAAATATACGGGTATTAATTCCTATTCTCTTTGTTTACATCGGATGACCGGTCCCCTTCTATCGAAAACAATCGACTGTGTATCGAAAAAGTGACCCGGCGTGACAGAGGAGTCTCGGAATTCGGGACCTGGGAAATGTTCAAAAGTGGTGCCAGCTCTCCCATTTACATTACGACTATATATACTCTATGTTTTTAAGAGACATAATAAGTGGAATTTTGCCGTTCTAAGGAATACATCAAATGATACTTTCGAACGTTGTTAAACTTCTTCCAAGAAAATAAAAAAGGTATGAGAAACTCCAGAAGTTTTTCATTTGAAATATAAATAGAATTCTTTTCGCACTTTCATTTAGTTCTCCTGCGCGCACATTTCAGCTAAAAGGATTCAAAACTTTCATCAAATATAAAAATTTTATCCGATGAAATTTGGCAACTTTGAATGTTCATAAGACGTTATTTCTTAGGAATGCATGATTCTTGCTATTCATTTTAAACAATTTAAACATGTCCTAGTATTTTTCATGTAGGCAGCAATTCAAAACGCTTAAAGTCACTGAAGGAAAGGAATAATCATTAAAATAACAAAAGCACATTTACGATAAAATATATCTTATTAGAGAAACTGAACGGAAGTTACAGTTGTGTATGCAATTATTGGATAAAACTTACCATCAAAAAGTGTTTGGGAGCTTTATCTATTACATCAGGAATGATTTCATGTTTTAAAAGTGCTTTTTCTATTTCTTCGGCCGTTTTTGTGACTAATGGAGGAATCACTGTGTTCACCGTTGAGGTTGATCTGACCGGCAAAACACTTGATGCAAAAAGAAAAAACATACAATTTTGCAATTGGAACACCCAAGAAATATTAATCCTGAACATCTTGTTGTAGTTGAAATAAAGTATTCCTTTAAACCGCTAATCTTTTCTTGGACGACTAAATGAACAAATAAGTGCACCATCAGCTTAGCAGTAATAATTTCTTATCACTCCTCTGAATAGCAGTAAATCCAAATCGCTTTTTTGCGCGTGTTTCTTGTTCCTGTTGTAGGGGTGGGGGGGGGAGGGGGCTAGGGCGTACAAATCGACGACGAAGCGACCCCTTTAAGTTAATT